CTCATTTATATCCTCAGCGCTACACCAAGCAGGAAGTGTTTTGATATACGACTTGACGGAAAATGGCACGCCTGCCTTACTCAGCACATTCAATGGAGATAGGAAATTTTCACGCTTTGGAGAAGAGGTGCACTTGCGGGATCTGAACAACGATGGACTTGGTATAGTTACACTTTTTTTAATTGTAAAACATCAAAAAGGTTGCACAGTAAATTCTACTGAAGGTGAATTCAGCATTCCACCATCCCCTTTTTTCTCCCAGGGAAGTAAACTTTTCCAGCAGCAATTTGAGGCTTGTCTTCCTGTCTCACTGCAGGAGAAATAATGCAAGGGTGTCCAGGACAGATTAAAAAAAAAAAAGCAAGCTATGGCCATCATTCAAACAGTAAATTCAAAGACAAATCCCTGTTCTCAAGTGAGTTGCCCAATGCACAGTCTTGTGAGGTTATCTGGGCTGAATTCAACTGTGTAACACTCAAATAAGTGAATAAAATCATCCAATCTGCCAACTTGGCCACCAGTTGGTTAAATTCTATCTCCTTCCTGGCTATCAAAGCAGTCCAGAAGATGGCCACGGCGTGGGTCTATGTGGTGTATCACCCTCTTTGAGGGAATGAATGGTACCTCTGGAAATGAAAAAGGTGGGTTGTATGCCTCAAGAAATCCCTTGACCCCTTGGTTGCTTCCAATCTTGTGAGCTGCAATCATTCCAAATTGGATTCTGGATGCAACTCAAGATTTTGGTTGTTAACTATAAAGCCTTTCACGACACAGAGCCTGAGTTAGATATAAGAAGCAGCTTATTTCCAATTCTTATTTCTTCCTGCTCAATATGTTCAGGCAGAGTGGGTTGTTCCAGGACGACTCCACAAGAAGTCATGTGAGCATGTTGCTTAATGACCATTTTCTTCAATGACCGAGGTTCTGGTCCCAATTGTGGTTGCAGGTTGAGGACTGCCTGTGTAATTTTGGCCATATTTATAGTGTGAATCTTTTGCTGTGCATGTTGACAGATGAAATGATTGTGTCATCGCCTCTTCGAAACCAAAAAATTATGGGTGGATTGTTTGGAGAACAACTTGGATATATTTATATATACAGTGGAAACCAGACCACATCAGGTCATGTGACAGACCACTGCAAATCATGGATTTCCCCTTGTCCTGAAGACTGGGTAAGTTGTTTGTTGATTGCACTTAAAATAGCTTTAAGAAAACTAGTTAAAATTATATTTTTTATTTAAATGTCAAAACAGTACAATTAAAATTCCTTTTAAAAGTTAACTTTGATATTACCTGAACATAAAACTAAGCAGCAATAGCGTAACCATATTATTGGTTTATAATAAAACTGAATCATTTCAAAAACATAGCTAATTACATATAATTTGTGAAGCTGAAGAAAAAAAGCTCTATTAGGTTTTGTTTTGTGTTCTTTTTAGGTAACTTAACAAAAACAAGGCTTCAAAAAAGGTGGAAAAATACTTCATTAAACTAAAGCAAAACAGCTAAATATTTAACTTTTTTACACACAAATTAATTAAAACCTATGCATGTGAACCAAAAATTGTATGATTGTGTATTGCTCCTGCTCAGCAGATTATATAGAATAAGTTTCTGCACTGAAATGAGTTTCCATAAAAGAAATCAGGCATATTCATCAACCCAGAAACCCTTTAGAAATATTTGTAATTGATTATTGTACCGTTAAAAATAATGGTAGCCTTTCATTCTTTTCTCTTTTTTCTTTTCCCAGGCACAGTATGTTATAATTTCTCCAGAGGTATGGTAATAAAATGTTTTGACATGATTATTGCTTTATTTAACATGAGCACTCAGGAATCTTTAACTATTAAACTGTCACTTGATTAAAATGTGAAAACGCCAATTTTTTTAGTTTCAAGTTAGAATAAAAGTCTTGCTGTTTCTAATCTAGCATCATACTAATAATCCATTAGGGCCAGGAAAATAATCCTCCTTTTTCACTCAACCACACTCAAGCATGAAATTATCACACGTAGAGAAAAGTTTTCAAACAGTATGGATACGTAACATTGGGGCAGTATTTAACACTTACCAATTAATGATATTTAATCAGTCATCATTAGCATAAGATATAGTAATTAAAGTTGGATACTTTTGACAAGTGCAGTTTTTAGTAAGTTTAGAGCTTGTTCCTATTATTGAACCATTGATTTCAATCAGACATTTGACTAAGCAAAAATGTTATTTTGATTGAGGACAGTGGCTTTTGGAGAATTGAAGCTAGGCACAGTCAACAGCTCAACAAGTCATGCCTTTCAATCTACCTAGCAGATTGTCAAGAGAAAGATCCTTGCCAGAGAACAGATTACTTTCTGGTGGTTTTAAAAATTAGTTTAACAACATTTGGTATTGCTTAACCTCAGTGCTATAACAGGTATCTTTATTCATTTGGTCACCTGAAGCTGTTTGCTCAATAGATATTGCATTCCAGTACTGCTTTAGTAGCAACTTGGTAGGAGCAGCAGTGAACACCTTAATTACAGAGTATGTCATTGGTGGCTATATATTCTCCTTGCAGGGAAAATCAAGATTTGGGAGTACTCTTCTTACAATGAAAACTGGAGAAAAGGTAATTAAAACAAGTAGTACTTGTTTTTCTCACAATGGAAAACAAGCCCAGATTGTCAATTGTTTGCTGTTTATTACTAGTATTATAAAGAAAACATACTGAATTGACTTTTAACCCACAGAAAACCAAAATTATTTGTGGAAAACTCCATGCTTGCTACATCTCCCCCCCCCCCCCCCCCCCCCCCATCATTTAGCATTTAATCTTTCCAATCTGACTTTTTTTGTTTTCCGTTCCATGGAGTCTGATTCTTGGATGACTGCCTGGACAAATCCCTGCAGTTTTCTTGGCAAGTTTTTTCAGAAATAGGTTTGCTATTGCCTGTTTCCTAACTCTGAGACAGAATGGCCCAAAATCACTGAGCTGGCTTTATGCCTAAGGCAAGATTAGAACTCTAGTCCATTGCCTTAATCAATAGGTCAAACTGGCTCTTCAATTAATTTAGTGCCCTCCAAATGTATGGAAAGTATAATTTCCCCAATTCCTAGATGAAGGCCATGCCAGATGAAAATTCTGGCTGTCATTTTCCAGTCAACAAAATAATGCAAAAATCACAAAAAATTCAGGATAGGTTTTTTCCCCCCTATTAATAGTTGTTTTCTGCCTTGACAGAGTGAAGTTGTCGTAGCTGCTGAAAGGAGTTCAACTAAAGCCCGACTTAGTGGAAGGCTTTTTCTTTACACCTTCTGATTATCATTCTGTGTTTCAAAGAATCACTTCAGTGAAGTAATCCCGAGTTTTGTGCACCAGTAATTCTTGAAAGCAGAACAGCATAACAAACCTGCTCCTGACTTAGTATATGAACAATACTAAACCTTTTGGGGAGTTAATCATGCCTCTTAAAATTAGTGTATTTTTTAAGATGTTCATGTTAAATGGAATAATGAGGGGAAGTTTTTCTAAATATTTTGCAGCTTTTGGCCCTTGGCTACTTTAACAGTTGCATGACAACAGATATAGTCTTTATTTTTAAAAAAATATTCCAACAGACTCAGATTTAGTATATTGGAGAACAAAGCCAAGAAGAATCGTAAATATTGAGTTATACAAAACCAGCATCAATAAAATAGATTTTCTCTTTATCTCTATTATTATAACTTTATACATTATTAAGTAGCATAACAATACTTCTATAAAGAACATGAGTTGAAGCTCCAGAACTTTGTGGCCTTTAGGTAACAGCTATTTAAAGAAATCAGTATATTTTTTTTGCCAATCACTCATTTGACTTCCATTGCATTAAACTTGTTATCTTACTCAGTTGTTGACGACTGATCCTAGACATGATTCATGGCCAAGCATATTGATATGATGACATGGAGACAATGCAAGGTATTAAAATGGTTTTCCTTTAGAACAAATAGTTACTTATTTCTAGTCCAAACTGTCTAGTAAGAGGAATTTATACATTTTCTATTCAATGCAGTTCTTTCTAACATTAGAGAACCAATATTTGATAAATTCAGTAAACTTAAGAAGTTTTCTCAATATTCCAACTACACTGTTAAGTAATTTGTATAGCTCATGTACGGAAAGGCCTAGGTTTGATCCTAACACTTATAGTTGAAAGGATCAAGTAACAGATGGCAATAGAAGAAAACTGTACTCAAAATTTGGGGGGGGTTGTTAGTCACTATGGACGATAAAGGTAAAGGTTCCCCTCACATATACGTGCTAGTTGTTTCTGGCTCTAGGGGGTGGTGCTCATCTCCGTTACAAAGCCGAAGAGCCAGCGCTGTCCACAGACGTCTCCCTGGTCATGTGGCCGGCATGACTAAATGCTGAAGGCGCACAGAATGCCATTACCTTCTCACCAAAGGCGATCCCTATTTTTCTACTTGCATTTTTACATGCTTTCGAACTGCTAGGTTGGCAGAAACTGGGACAAGTAACGGGAGCTCACTCTATTATGTGGTGCCCGGGATTTGAACCGCTGAACCACCGGCCTTTCTGATCGACAAGCTCAGCATCTTAGCCACTGCGTCCCAATAAGTGAAGATAAATATACATGTCCAAGGATAATGTTGTCACATCCAATGTGGGTTGGTCACTAGAGGCTTTTGAAACCATTCTGGACCCTATTTCTGGTGAACAGAAGATAAGGTTCAGAACGATTCCAAAAGTTTGGAAATCTAAACCTCTAGTCCTGGTGATCAACCCAGATTGAATCTTGTTAGAGGTGAAAAACCTGAGCTAATACTATTACAGCTTCTTGTACTCCAACTCATTCCCAATTTTGTCTACCATGAATCAGATTTTCTTGATACTATTTAGGATAATTAATTAATGTACTATATTAAGTTAAATGATCTAGATAGTGACTGAAATATTTATTAATTTGCCTTTGATGCAGTACAAGCAGTTAAGTACTGTTTTTCTGAGTAGCATTTTGGAACCACTCTGAATAAAGTCATAGCTCTGACTTCATTTTACAATTACTGTCATGAGTCTGAAGCTACACTGAGATAAAAGTTCAGGTAACTCTTGACTTACTACCATAATGGAACCTGCCCATCACAGTGGCATGTCATGACAACCATTGAGTGTCTCACTTAACAAACCCTATTCCTGTTCTCCCCAATGCAATCATTAAATGAATGTGCAGGTTGTTAAGAGGAGCATGGGGTGCCCCAGGAATCTGGAAAGCGCTTGGTGGCCTAACATAGGCCCAGGGCCACCTACCACAGGCCTAGCAGGGCCTCCCTCACCCCTGAGGCAATCAGTACTCTGCTCCCTTCCCCTCAATATTCCTGTAGGCCATTACATGCTTCCAAGCTGGCTTATTCAGCCATGCAAGGGAGCCTAACACTGGTCAGAAGTGACTGGCACATCCAGGCAGTTACAGTCTCTAGGCCAGACATGGGCAATTTACAACCCATCTGCCCCACGTTGGGGAAAAGTTATCAGTGTGGCGGTGGTGTTGGGGCAGTGGCAGCAACGGTGTTGACAGGTACAGCAACACCTCTCCACAAGAGTCCGTTTCTCATGTGATCCTTTGGGAAAATTAATTGCCCACCTTTGCTCTAGGCCGAGGCCTACTTCCCATCCAGCCACCCAAGGGCCTGACCCTTGGAATTTCTCCAGGCATCGGCCTGCTTCCAAGTGGCTCTTTGAAGCTATGCAAAGGAGCCTAAAGAGGGTCTGTAGAAGTGATACGGCAATTACAGCCTGTAAGCCAAGGCCTACTTCCCATCTGGCCACCCAAGGGACTTGCAGGACTCGGCCTGCTCCTCTCTCTGCTCCAGGGTTCAGCAGCACCCAAATTACCTTTCTGTTTTTGCAGAAGAGCCCGGCTGATGTGATGCAATGTGAATCTCAGCTTTCTGACAAAGGCTGCCTGCCTCATGGCAACCTTCTGCAAGCAAGTAGTACTTTTCTCATACGCTCCTTTTTAAGGAGGTTCCACGAACTTCACAAACGAAGCCTCCTTTAAAAGGGGGAGCTTTCTCCTAAAACAGTACTAGTAACTCTATTTTTGGTAATTATGACAGGAATATAAAATTTTTACCTTTCGGAATCCAGTAACTGAAGAAATAGCAATAAAGCAGTATCTTTACAAAATACTGAATCTAAACAATAGAACATGAAATTAACACAGTGGTATATTATGTTCAAAAAAGAATTTGTTATCAGAGATAACACTATTTTTACATAAATATATCTCACTCTTTAGAAATAATTTAGACAATACTTTTTGCCTTTTATGAACTATACCTATAAAGGAACATGTGTGAAACTATTATTAGGGTAGACACGGTTTTCTTATATTGGCAAAAAGTTAAACTTTACCAGAATTCCCACAGAAGGCATTAGTTAAAGGAAAAAAGGGGATGTTTTTAACATTTACATGATTTAAATTTTCTACTGGGGTATTCAAAACTCTGAAGTCTTCTCTCAAGAACTGAAGATTTTTAACTTCTTATTTTTGGGATATAATACAGTCAAATGGTAAAGGCTGCTACATTTTTTTGAAAAAGTAAATCCATAATGATAGTCTCAAGTTCAAGTTATCCTGGAGTATTCCTGTCATTGGTTGGTCATTGTACTTCTGCTTGACTCAAAGGTTTCTGTTTTGAAAACATTCTTAAACTCTACTTTTCCATTGGCTGACTGCGTTTTTTTCAATAAAGCCGGCATCTAAAGGAAAAGATAACAGAATAAGGATTGTGAAAACTGGTTAGTTAGTGGAAGTTAGTGTTGTGCTTAAGTAAGCAAAAGGAAGGTTGCTTGCACTAGTTAACTGGCACAGCCACACTTACCTCTTTCAACCTCATATGTAGAATGAGCTGGTTCATTATCTATACCAGGGCCAATTTTAAGACTTGTGGACTTCAACTCCCAGAATTCCCTAGCCAGCTGACTGGGGAATTCTGGGAGTTGAAGTCCAGAGGTTTTAAAGTTGCCAGGGTGGACACTCCAGATCTATACTGTACTTCTGCTTATGAGCATTGGCAGCATATAGCTATTATTTGCTTAAAATATGTCAAACTCTAAATCTAATAGAGCAAAGACTGAAGTCATATCCAATTAAGGTGCAAAGGGGAAATCTTGTCCCTTAGTCAACAACTATTGAGCTTGTCCCTTAGTCAACAACTATGTATACCTAAAATATGCTCTCAGAATCAAATGGAGGTTTATCAATTGTGCGCATCTCTGCTAAGCCATGTATAATCACTGTTAATCAGAATAAGTTCTTAAAGGACTACATCTGAGTTTTTAAAATTGGAGCCTCCCTTCAAAAGTCTGCCAGAAAGCAGAAGTTCATTCTGGCAGGTTATTAAGAATTCTGCCTGGGACTTCCGGTTTGTCGGCTTCGAGAGCAGCAGGGATTCGCGACACTGCGCGATCCCTGCTGCGCTAGCCGTTTTTGGTGCTCCGATCCGGACGGGTTTGGAGCTAAGGCTGCCCTGCAGGGGCGGCTGAAGATAGGGGGGATCCGGAGAGGGGTTTGGGGGTGTTGCAGACCCCCTCCCCGGCCGGCAGAACCCCCTTTTCCCAAGACGGTGCAGCGGCAGTCCGTAATGGCCTCCACAAAGAAGCCGGCAGCTGGGTAAGAATGCGCAGGAGGAAGAGGAGAAAGCCTTTGAGAGTGAAAGTTTTTCTTGGTTGACCCAGGACTCTAAGACATATTTAACACAATTCCTGGAAATTATGGCTTTTTGAATGATACTTTCCAGAAGAGAAAATAAGCGGCAATTTTGAGATGCTGAAAGGAAAGTTTACTCTCCTTCCCTACGGAATCAACAAGTGGATACTGAGAAACCTGTCTTTTTTAGGTAAAAACTGGCTTTATGTGATAAGTGGGAAGGGAGAGGACAAAGAATATATTTATATGTTAAGATTTTGTTGGAGGAGATGCCTTAAGGATTTGAAGACTGAAATGTATTGCAATGAGGCTTTAAGATACAGATTTGGACTTTCTTTTTTTGATTGATACTACCCCAGGAAGAGAAAGTGAGAATTTTGTCTTGGCTTGGATTGATTGATGACTTTGGGATTGTTCTATTTTTTGAAATATCTTGGTTGTTGCAAGAAGAAAGAGGGGGAAAAAAAAGAAAAGAAAAGATTTATAATGGCTTTTTCTGTTGAGGAACTGAGAAAAGAATATGAGCAAACAAAAAAAGATGGCGAAGATGGTGTGAAAGAAGCCTTCCTTTTTTTAGAAATGGCGCTTGTTACTTATCAACAAACACTACAACAGATGGAGGCAGAAGAAGAAGAAGAAGAAGAAGAAGAAGAAGAAGAAGAAGAAGAAGCCATCTTTAATGAATTTCAAAATTTAACTAAGAAAGAAGGAAGGAAGAAAGGAAGGAAAATGAAGGACTTAAGATTTAAAAAAACACTCAAGAAAGAGAAAAATAAGGTGCAAAATCAATATAATGATAGTAAACAAAAGAAAAAAGGAACACAACAGAGAAGGGAAGCCAGTAAGGCAGAGGCTAGGAGAAGGGGGGGGGGGGGGGGTAGAAGGGTCGGGTGGGAGAAGAAAGAAAGGGAAAAGGTGGAGAAAAGCCACAAAGTTTTGAAATCAGATGGGAAAAGAGGAATCTTTTTTAGGGACAAAGGGTAAAGTATAATTTCTTTAAAAAAGATTTTGCAAGGTACATAAGATGGTATTGTAGCATTTGTATTAGAAATAGAAAATTAGAATGGTTTAAGAGTTAATAAGAGATTAAAATGTTGAAATGTTTAGTAATGATTGATTTTAAAATCTAATAAAATATTAAAGGGAATGTTTAGAATATTGAGTTTTAATTAAAGAGTTTAATATGACTATGGTATTGATGTTATTATAAAATTATTATTGTAGCATTTGTCTTTGGAAAAGGCAATGGGAATGTTATAAGATTCAATATTTAGATCTATTATTTAACTATGTATTTAATCAGTTTGGATTTATTATTTTTCTTTTATTAAAAAAAAATTAGTAGATAGAATGTACCAAGCAGAATCAGATTGGGTATTAGGTGTTATTTTAAATGTTAATCTAATTATTTTAGGGGGAAGATAGAAAGTCATCATACTCTGTTTAGTGATTTCAGGAGAAATTCTTTTTTTTATTATTATAAGGAATGAGACAAAGGGATAATAAAGAATGGACAAAAGATACAAATATAATGACTTAAATTAAGATGGATTAAATAAGATAGAATTAAGAAGAGTGAAATGTGTGGAGAAGCCAATATAGAAGACATAGAATGGTAAATAAAATAGGTAATGACATGTAAGATGAGCATGAATATAATTGAAGTCCATGTAGAGAGAGGTACCTGGGGCCAAGTTACTTTCCTAAAAGATTTATTATATGTTTGTGTGTTGTGTGTTTATGTTTCTGGGAGAATTAATAAAACCTTGCAGAAATATAGAATGAGAATAATGGTAACCAAGTCAGAAAGAAATAGAAGAAATAATAATAGTGAAATTGAATAAGAGTAAAGAGAAGTAAAGAGAAACTGGAAAAGAGGTATTTGTATGCTTACATGGAAATGGTTTAAAATAGAATTATATTGTATAAAATAAGGTTTTATTTGACTTGTAAAATTTATAATGGAAAAAGGTTCAAGCATGTAATGGTTAATGATGATTTGTTTGTCTTTAAAATTAATAAAAATTTTTTTAAAAAAGAAAGAATTCTGCCTGAAATTAGGATGCGTTGTCTTGGAGGGTAAATGGTGCTATGATCACAGCAGGAAGACACAATTTAAGGCAGACACAGCAGCAAAGCCATCCTGTAAAGAATATGCATATACAAAATAAATTTTTAATCTTCAATATGCTTGCAAGCATTATCAAGAACAAAAAGCTAAGCGATGGAAATCAGGATCTGAATAAAGCTTGTAGATTAACATCACTTGGTCTAAACGCAGAGGAGAGAACTAGAAATACACAATAATTCATTGTCCTGTTTGTTTTATTGATGTACCACCTTTTATTCATGAACTCAAGGTAGTGTATTCCCTCCTCTCATTTCCCCCCCATAACAACCCCACGAGATAGGTGAAGTTGTAACAGAGTGACCGGGCCAAAATCACTCAACAGGCTTTTATGGCTAAGGGTGGGATTTAAATCTGGGTCTCCTTAGTGCTAGTCCAGTATCTTAGCCACTACAGAATACTGGATCTCATGAATTAAAAATTAAAAACTCCAGCAAGATATATGGCAAACTAAGCCTCTTCCATACAACAGATACAAAAGAATGGTTCTCAGGTCTCTGCAAAAAAAATCAGATCGCAGTTGTCCTCTGTAATCCCAGAATGTAGAACAAGGAATCACACCCTGAAGTTCTAGGAAGACAAGAGTCTGATAAAGTAGATAGAAAAGTATTATACAATACTCATGATTCAAACTGAGTTTTGTTGATGGTTTTATTCCCGATATACCTGCATATGAGAATTAAGCTCTACAATGTTGGGGAGGAATGAGGTAGCTTAATGCAGTAGTAAGTGAAAGAATACTTACTGGTGGAAGCATTGACGGTTCTAGATGCCGCCCAAGAAATGTAAGCAGGCGCCGCCAAATTAAGCCACTGCCTAGGAACATAATTCCTGTCACCAGCCAAAACATTCCATGGTTCTAATATGGTAAGAGCACACAATGAATGATTCCCACCTCAGATTACTCATTCGTTTTTAAATGTTACTACATTTTTAAAAATGACTCTTAGTAACTGAGGTTATCAGATTTATTTATCCAGGAGTAGCATTTAATATATCAGTCCTGTGGAAATGACATGGACAGTGAACAGATCCAGGTATACACAATGGATGCTTTTCTTTCCATTGGGGTTCATTGAAGAAAGACAATGGCTTTAAGCTTCCTCCCCCCCCCCCCCCCCCATTTACTTCATTGGATCTTGCAGAAACTTTTTCTGCCCTTTAAAGAGGACTGGCTAAAGAAGACAGCTTTTTTTCAGATATGGTTATGATCACTAGTGCAGCTTTCACCAAGCTGAATTGCCAGCCTTTTGATCTAACCTGACATAAAACAAGCAAGGCTGCTATTCATCCCATCAAGAATAAAGGAAACCATAAATAGTCTGAAACAATGCTCTCGTGATATTTATGAAACAACAAATATCCTATTGTCAAGTTCTAATAGCCAGTTAATGCAACCATGTAATTAAAAGCAGTCTTTGTGGCTTTACTGGAATATTTTACAAAAATATCTAGAAATGTTGTTTTCAGTATTGTTTCTTACCTCTTCAAATGATGATTCCAGATTCATACCAAATGCTACTCCTATCAATCCAAAAAGCGAGATTGAAAAAGTACCCATGGTCAGCTGCAAGTTCAACCTCATCATAACATTACGGTGGCTAAAAAGATAAAATATAACTCTGTTAAATTGAAGGATTAAATATGACAGTTACATTTGCTTTAGAGATTTAAACAACTTTGGAGAAGACGCTCTTTCATACTTGCTTCTAGGAGTAGCAACCCAGTTTACAACTATTTTTTAAAAATATACCACTAGTCACTACCATTTACACAGTTTAGCCCAACCTATGGTACCATCCACTTAATGCTACTGTTGTTCTAGAACAGAGTTTTTTAAGCTTGGCATCTTTAAGAATGTACGGCCCTTAATTCCCAGAGGTCCTCAGTCCACACATCTTAAAATGGCCAAGTTTGAAAAATACTATCCCAGAAGGCCCTATCTCGCCCTTTTGGCCACCCTGCATTTTGCTGGCCCTGTTGTCTCCAGCTGATCTTCCCACTGCTGGGAAGAAGATCAGTTCCCCACATGACATACATGCTGGTTAACTTGCCTACAAAGTTTTCTACAGTTACAAATGTTAGGGACTGTTTATGTAGCCAGAATAGCTTATAGTTAGGTTGATTTCATTACTGACAGAAATCTATCAGTCCATCTGTAGAACCATTAGCTTAATTCAAAAAATTAATTTAATTCAAAACCAAAACAAGCTTTGTCAAGTTAGCACTGATAATGGAATGTGCATAGTAACATAATTTATTAAAATTACCAAATAATTCAGAGGAATACAAAATAAATTTATACATTTCATCTGAGAAAGAGCTTTATAAACACAACTATTTTTTAATCTAAATGTCAAATGAGTTTTAAAAAGTGTATGTTAAATTTTAACAATATGCTCCACACAGCTACCTGTCTAAGTTGATAAAGATGATACTTTCAGAATCATCAATCAGTATTTTAAGTTCCCGGGTTTCATTCATAAGATCTTCTGACTGCCTATAGTAATTTTCCAGCAGCAGTTCCATCTCCTCCACATGGTCAATTCCAGAAAGACTTGCCTCACTGTGAACAATAACCATAAGACCCATTGCAAACAGAAACCATGGTGATAGTATATGGCAATACAATAGTAAATGAAAATTCAGTTTTTTTCCAGTTCTTTCTAGCAGCATTTAAAATCTGAGGATCACTATCACTTGAATGACATCTAGTATGAATGTAGTATTAAGAGTATATTAAGAATGTAGTATTATTTCGCAATTAGGAAGAATCTTTAGTTGTACATTGGATTGGCAACACTGCCATTCATCTGCCTCTAAGCATATTCAAATTGAGGTTTTCAGTTACTGCAGATTTTTTTTCCTATCCAGGCAATGAAACACTATGTACTTATTATAGAGAAATCTAACAAACTCCTGATTAACCTGTTTACCTGAGAGATCATATTCTGTTGTTATTCTGTGGGTTTTATATTTCAAAATATTTTTAAAGTGGGATTTTCAAACTAGAATGCCCTTATTAATAATCCATATGGAATACAAGCTTGTAACCAAACTTACCTTGGGCTTTTTTAATGATTATAAATTATCTCTACCCAGAAAATAAAGAAGATAAATCAATAAACATATCTTTAATTAATAGTGTAGAAATGGTACAATAATGTGGTAAATGTTGTGGATATACAGTACTATATTGGAATAAATCTAATAACGTGTAGTGGTGATAAGGTAGCTACAATTAGGAAAAACAAAACTCTGACTTCTTTATTGCTTTGATCTTGAGAAAATCTTGTTATGTATGAAATGATTATCTCATATTGTACAGCTCAAATAAAAGAGGATATTAAGAGAGGGGTTAAAATATCCTATGACTTTGTGGAGAAGAATGTATGAAATGAATATAGCTTCATAGCTTAAACACATTTTGCGAGTATTTGTGTTAATTCCATTTATATATTTTAAACAAATTGACAAATTAATAATTTTTAATGGACGGTAAAACACTCAGGATTTTTCTGTAAAACGATACGTTTTTATATGAAAATGGTGGTTTCAATGGCAATGAAAGCATTATGTTTTGCTACAATGATTCATATCCTTATCAACCTGACTTAGACTATTACAACATGTTTTGCATGGGACTGCCTTTGAAGATTGTTTGAAATCTGCAGCTGATCCAGAAGCGCAGCAATTCGTGTGCTCATTGCTATTCATTGGTGGGAGCTCGTTACACCAGTACTGTGGGCCCTGCACTGGTTTCTAACAGGCTTCCTGGTGCAGTGTTTCAAGTCCTGGAATTAATCTTTAAGACCTACAAGTTATCTAGGCTGCAAGTTATCTGCTGGATCTAATTTTTGCCAATGGAATTGGCCTGGCCATTTTGATTTCACTGGGAAAGTTTATTAGCAGTGCTCTTACTTTAAAAAACGGAAGGAGCCAAAACTCAACAGAATTGCTTTTCTGAAGCTGTATCAGTTCTTTGGAATGGCTTCAGGCATATCTCCAGCTGGCTCCTATCCTAACTTGTTAAGCTGCTCAGAACAGAATACTTCAGAGCTAATTTTGACTTTGATTCCATCTTAATTTGGTTAAATTCTGGTTAATATTATTTTATATTTTCATTAGTTGCTAGACCTTTCATTTTTATCTACTGCAGTGTTTTGCAAATTTAAGATACATGGATGTCAACTCCCAGATTTCTGGGAGATGACGTCCACGCATTAAGAATTACCAAAGATTGACTAGCACTAATTTATTGTATATTGTTTATTTTTTTCCTGTATCCGTGGAGATTGTGGTAGTGTACGTATGAAATGAAGGAACAACAAATGTTTTGTTTGATTTTGAAAACTAGGCCGATTACAAACAAAATCTTTTAGGGTTTATCGGGCTTTCCAACAGATATTTAGAAAGGGCAGGCTGTCATCCTACGTAGGAGTTTAAATAAACTGGAAGCCATCCTAGCACACATGACTTAGCCACATTCTCCAGTTAATACATATTAATACAATGCTGAACCAGTATTTTAGAAATTAAGGTTTAAAGATGTTAATGTTTTGTTCAGTATATTCCCCAAACATAGAATTTATCTACGTCTGAGGAGGTTTGGATTATATTATGCCTGGATTAGAATTAAAAACAGTAACTATGCAATTTGGGAAGTTCAGGTTTCAGATTCTAAACCAGGTGTGTCCAACCTTTTGGCCTGCCTGGGCCTCACTGAATGAAGAGGGTCACAAATAAAATATATTGTCTTGGGTCACAAATAAAATATATAGTATATGTATGTAAATAGCAAACTTCCTTTTTCAAAAATACCGTATTTGCCGGCGTATAAGACGACTTTTTTGCCCTGAAAAAGATGCCTCCAATTGGGGGGGTCGTCTTATACGCCGGGTCGTCTTATACGCCGGCAAATAGTAATTGGGAAGCACTGCGGCTGCCCGCGGCTGAGGCACTTTTGCGACTTTTTTGCCCTGATTCGTGGAAACGAATCCCGTGAAGCCGAAAGGAGCAGCCAGCCTTCTCCCAGCTCCCAA